ATCCTAGACTCAGTGAACAAAGCACATGGACAAGGAAGACAAGCCATGAAGAACTCCCACCCCACCCCACCTCACCTTCAGAGGTCAGAGGGAGCCAGGTGTCTGGAGCAGATTAGAGGTAGTCCTCAAAGGCAGTACAGCTCTCCTCCAGCCACACTGGAGGTAGAGAACCTCCCTCCACACTAACGAGGTTTCAGTGCAGAACAGAGGGGGAAGGGAGCTAACTCTGGTTTAGGAGGACTCTAAACAATCCTGCGCCCTAGCCACTCAGGATTAGAAAGAAAGGCTTGGTCATTTCCAAAACAAGCCCAAGATGAGCTGAAATTGACAGCATAAATCAACTAGAATGAGAACCACTGACATCACCCTCAAAGGAACTTAATAAAAGAAGACAAAGACATTGAAAGCAAAGGAGTAAGGGAAAGGCAGGTGTCAGGAAGCAGAGGCTGAAAAGGCAGCCAGCCTGGATATTGCCATGCTCAAGCGCAGTGAAGCTCTGGGAGGTAACAGAGCCACCGAAGCCCGAGACACACAGATTCCACCGCAATAAGATAACAATCCCTGGAGGAAGAGAAAGACTTCCATAGGGAAACAGGGAAGAGGGATGGTGTTGATCATGCATGGCATCACAGGTCCTGCAGCCTTGCAGGTGAAGCTCAGAGACAGCAGGCACACTCAGAGGAGGGAGCATCTGCACCGTGGTATTTCAGGGTGGCACCCTGTGCTTAGGTTTAAGTCTGCAGAAACACAAATTGGTTTCATTGCAGTGGTTCCCCTATCCACTGTGACTTTTTGTCTGTGTCTGTGCTGTCCTGGAGCTTGAACTCAGGGCCGAGGGTGCAGTCCCTAAGCTTTTGTGCTCAAGGCCAGCATGCTACCGTTTGAACCACAGCTCTACTCAGATCTCAACTCCTGAGAAGCTAGGATTTACAGGCTTGAACTACGGGCGCTCAGCAATTCTATTTTTTTTTAAAATGGAATAAGATTCCAGGACCACATTCCACTCTTAACTACAGAACCCACATATATAGCACTAGTTCATTCCCCCATTTCCTTGAGATGCAGGGTCTCTGTTTGCCCTTGGGAATCCCCCCATCCACAATACCCAGTATGACTGAAGTATGAGGTGCTAATATGCAACAGGCAAATGCACATACACAGAACACAACACAGAGAACCACCTCAGAGTTAGTTAGAAAAGCCTGAGAATCTGTCTTAGAAACCATGAAAGTCGATCATGAGAAAACTTCTGTTTTAAGCCCTATGAGCTGACTAGTGGACTACAAAACCAAACCAAATCCATGCAAGACACCTGCAATCGCCAGGGCTCATCTGTTTTTCCTTTTGCAGTATTTAGCCCTTGTATCCCTCTTCCTCCAAGTGCTTTATTTATTTGATCCTGTTCTGATCATGTCATTAATGTAATTCATGGCTCAAGATGAAGGTCCCCTTCACATCAAAAGAACCAACAGGATTGTCCATCTGAGTTATACCCAACAACTTTCATAAGAAGTTTATATAACAATCCACAAAAACCCAACACATCACTAAAATGATGATAAAAGGCCATCCACAGGGTAAACAAATGTAGCAATGGTACTCACTAGACGCCATGCTGAAAATGAACTATACAACTTGTGGGTGGGGATGGGAGGGAAAAACTGGAAAAGAGGGAGGGAAGGGGTGACATTGGCCAAAAAGAAATGTAAAGACCTGACTTATGCAACTGTAACCCCTCTGTGCATCATGTTTCTAATACCAATAAAAAATGTACAGGCCAGAAGTGGCGCTGTAGCACAAGTGGTAGAGCACTAGCCTTGAGCTGAAGAGCTGAGGGACAGTGCTCAAGCCCAGAGTTCAAGCCCCACGTCCGACAAAAAAAACAAACAAACAAACAAACAAAAAAATGTACAGGCCGGGGCTGGGAAGGTGGCTCAGTGGTAGAGTGCTTGCCTTGCATGCATGAGGCCCTGGGTTTGATTCCTCAGCACCACATAAGCAAAAAGAAAAAAGCTGGAAGTGGCGCTGTGGCTCAAGTGGTAGAGCGCTAGCCTTGAGCTGAAGAGCTGAGGGACAGAGCCCAGGCCCAGAGTTCAGGCCCCACGATCGGACCCAAAAAAAAAAAAAAAAAAAAAAAAAAAGTACAGGCCATCCTCAGGCAAGTTTCCTCTTATTTTCACAAAGTAACTAAAGAGATCACCTAGCCAAAGCTCTAAGGCTCACTAGGTAGGACCCAGGTGCCTCTGCCTCCTTATTTGCCACATTCTGTAGGCCTAAGCCTTTAAAGCATGGTCCCAGCAGGTGGGTGCCCCGTTAAAGAGGCCAACAGGTTCCCCATGCCATGCCCAAGTCCAAGGAATCCCATACCAAGCCAGACTTCCTGCCTCTGCTCTTGCTCTGCCAGGTCAGAAAATGCCCCCCATTCTTCCTGAGCCCAAAGCCCACTGAGTCTCCAGGACCTGTTTCTACCAGCACCTCCTCCTGACTCCCCAAATCCCTTTAGGGCATCCTTGCCTCCTTGCCTGGTACATATCTGGACTTCATCACATGTCACCTCTGCTTGCCACCACTAGTCACCCACGCCTTCTATCTACATGGACGAGTCACTAAGTATCTGTGAGACTGAGTCAGTACTCTACCTCTTCTCCCAGGTTAAGAGTGTGAACACCCCATATCCCACAACAGCCATGGGAATTCCATGTCCCTTGGGCTGGGAAGGTGGCTTAGTGGTAGAGTACTTGCCTTGCATGCATAAGCTCTGGGTTCAATTCCTCAGTACCACATAAGTAGAAAAACCTGGAAGTGGTTGCTAGCCTTGAGATCAAGAGCTGAGGGACAGTGCCTAGGCCCAGAGTTCAGGCCCCACAACTGACCAAAAAAAAAAAAAAAGGAATTCCATGTCCCAAGACCAGCACAACACAAGGTGTCCCAGAGCACCTTCTTCACCGGGCACTGTGTACTCATTGCCATGGCTATTCTAATAGCTGGTGCCACATTTTGTGTGTGTGTGTGTGTGTGTGTGTGGTGTGGGAGGGGGGATCGTGTGTGTGTGAGGGGGATCTTGTGGCTCCTCTGTGTGTGTGTGGGTGGGGGGGGGGGGGGGGAGGATCTTGTGGCTCCTCCCACCAGTCGTCAGCTCCCTCTTCATTCTTTTTCAGCTCACTGCTCTTTCAGAGGAGACAAGGAGAAATGAGATGAGCAAGGAGGTTTTCTCTGGCTCTTGCATACTGACAATCAGCAAGGGAGTCCCCAACTAGGACCAACAGTACTCACCCAAGGTGGCCAAGAGCCCTTGCAGGGTCACTAAGCAACTTTGCTTGCCTCAGCTGTAGCCAGATTTGGCTCTTGGCATGATATGGGGGTATAGCTTCCACAGGCAGATGTTGCTTCAATAAAGACCTGTTCAGTCCCCTCTCTGGCTCAGCTAATCATTTCCAATTATAGGTATTTGCTTGGATTTACAGATGGACTGGCCTATAGGTTCACCTCTCATTCAGCTGTTTAGAAAAAGATCCATTTCCCAAAGATCAGTGCCCTGTGAACAAGGTAAGGCCACTGAGCCAGCCAACAAAAGCTTCTCCATCCACTCCTGACTTGTAATACAAAGCCTTGACTATCATGCCAAAAGAAGACATGATGTTGCTGCCACATTTACTGCCCGGTTTGCATCCTCTGTGAAAGGCCTGGGCTCAGCTCCTTCCCGGGGAGGTCAATGAGACCTCTATTCCTCTCCTGCAGGTCTCTTGAAGAGACCCCTCCTCTGCTTGGCATGGCATGGAATGTTGGCTGCAAATAATCTACCAGGGGCTGACTGAACCCCTAACAGCTTGCCAGCTTCAAGGCTTCCAGTGAGAAGAGCTTCTCCTCACTAGCAGACCTGGGAGGAGGCCACCACAGATGCCACCTACACTGCTATCTGCCACCTACACTGCTATCAACACCTCAGCACACAGCTCACTTCCCCCCAGTGAGGGAGCCCTGCTGAGAAGCCTGAGGACTCTGGTTCATCAGAATAAAGCCTACAACTCCCAAGCTCCCTTCTGCACTGCCCTTCCCCAGCAGAGAAAGCTAAACCCTACTGGGATTGTCTCTGAAGGAGCAAGAATCAGCAGGCTTACTCTGAGCACAATCCTGGGCAGGGACCCACTTCAACTGAGCAGGACCCTAGGAAAGGGAAGGGCCACACTTTGAAGAGGGCAGAATGCAAGTGCAGGAAGAGCTAGTCAAGTTTGCTTCACATCCTTTCTGCGACGACTCCCTAACAATATAAGCAGGGTTCTGGGGATGCAAAAGTGAGCAAGCTAAAGCCTCAGCATCATGGGAAAAAAACAACATGGAAACAAAAATGGACAGGCTGGGCAACAAGAGCCATAGCAGAAAAGTGAACACAAGATACACGTATGGAAATCCAGGAGAGAGCAACACAGCTTCTGGGGAGTCAGGCTTGAGTCACAAGATGGCAAGGACAAGCCAGGATGGAGGATGGGCGGGTATGTCTGGGTGGGTGGAGAGTAAATGGAACAGAAGGATATAACAGCAGCACACGCAGGAACTGTGGTGAGCATGGCTCAGGGGCATGGCTGCAAACATAGAGACAGGGAACAAGAGATAAGCTGGACACCAGGTACATCCTAATTTAACAAAGAGTAGAGGAACAGTCTAGTCAGCCCAGAAGGATACAGGAGGTAGAAAGATGGCAGGGGCAGGACACAGAGTGGGTCAGAGAGAGGAGTCCCAAGGCAGAACAGGTGGGATGCTGGGGATGAGGGCCTAGCCAGCCAGGGAACAGAAGGAAAGAGATGGAGTTTCTAGCTTGTACAAGTAGGAGGGGATGGCACTCTCCATCAAAAGAAGAAACATTGTTGGAGTAAGGTGGGGGCTAGTGATCACTAGGACACTCCCCCAACTCCAGCTCTTCCACCAAGCAACCCTGGGCAAAGGGCCAGGGCTCAGGGCTTCATTGGGGGCATCAGCATCCTATGTTAGTACCCCAATCTCACCTGCATCCAAATGTTGTCTGAAGCAGTGTTGTGATTCCCACACAGAAGAAAATGGTCCCAATGAGCTGGCTGGTGGCCCACTGATCATACCCCACACACATGGCATCGGCCAGCAGAAAGGGCACTGCAATCGTTCCACTGAAGCAGGTCAGGTAGTGCTGTAGGCAAGAGGGACAGGAGAGTGGGAAAGTAAGCCCACCATGTTCTTTTCTGATTCTATCCTAAGGTACACATGGACCACAGAGATGATCTCTAGGGTTTGTTGTTGTTGTTTTGATTTTTTTGTTGGTTGTGGAGCTTCAACTCAGGTCCTGAGTGCTGTCCCAGAGCTCTTATGCTCAAGGTTAGCACACTACTTTGAGCCACAGCTCCGCTTCTAGTTTCGGAGTGGTTAATTGGAGATAAGAGTCTCCCAGGTACTTTTCTGCCCAGGCTGGCTTTGAACTGCTATCCCCAGGGCTCAGCGTCATGAGTAGCTAGGAATAAAGGCTTGAGCCACCAGTGCCCAGCCATGATCTCAGGGTTTTTAGGTTAATCCATTCTTAATATGCTGAATCACTTTTCTTTTTCATTGTATTTTCTTATTCTATTTCCATCTTGCATTAAGAGTGATGACTTGCACAAATTCAAGCGTGTATATTTTTCTTACTAGAAAATAGTTGTCATCCCTCCTCCCACTGATCGCAAAACTATAGAGCCTTTCTTCTCTAGCCTGTTCATGCGAACTACACTCTGCATGCTTAAAAGCAAAACCTAGTTAGTCATGTTGTATTTTCTTCTAGGATTTTATTTGCTTAGTATTTTATACTTAGATTCCTAAAATAATTAGTCTATATGGTTTGTGTAGGAGTGTTTTAATTCTCTCATGTCTGGGGATTAAAGCTAAATTAGTTTCATTCATTGTAGAAAGCAATGTGTTCTGACATTGTTTGGCAAACAGAATTTATCTGTTCCTGTAGGGTTAAAGGCACAGTAACTATAGGAATCCTTCAGAAACAACCTCACCCTGCTGCTCTTCCTTAGAAGACCTCTTCCTCAGTCCTAAGGCCCTGGCAGGGAAGTGCCATCTCTCATAGCTCCCTTCCCTCTCTGCCTCTCTCCCCCCAGTTTTCTGTTTATTTCTGTTCTGTTAACTTTTCTTCTCTTGCCTATAGCTTCTCACTTCTGACCAAGTCTGATAAATAACACGGCAGCTCACAAAGCCCAACAGTCCTGGTTGGCAGAATGGGGTGTGAGGGAGAGGGAACACTGCTGTTCAGGGCTTCTCATGCATTTGTATACAACGTATGGTATCAAAAATTTGACCCTAATAGGTCCCATGGTTTCCCTTATTCACAATTCCTAGTATATGTCTAGGATAATCTTACTAGACAAGCAGAAAAAAGTCAAAAGCTATATACATATAACCATATAAGATGATGCTAAGAGAAATGAACCCCAAGATAAGGACACAAGAGGTTTTATCTTTATCATTGCTGTTCTTAATGTAATATGTGATTTTTTGTGTTTCCTCTGTATGTTCTTTTTTTTCTTTTCTTTTTTATTCATCATGAAAATACTGTACAGAGGGTTACAATTAATGGGCAAGGTAATGAGTACATTTCTTATCAAGCATTGTTGCCTCCCCTTTGTATGTTCTTCCCCCTGGTATAACCCCTGTTTTCACTGTATTTGATTCTGTTGCCCTGCATCTTGTATATACATTTTTCTAATTTGAGAAGGGAGAGGGAAATAACAAAATGCTGAAACAAGGATACAGGTTGACCCATTGTAACAATGAAATGTACAAGACACTACGTTGAAAATGAACTTTACAGCCGGGTGCTGGTGGCTCACGTCTGTAATCCTAGCTACTCAGGAGGCTGAGATCTGAGGATCACAGTTCAAAGCCAGCCCAGGCAGGAAAGTCCGTGAGACTCATCTCCAATAAACCACTAGAAACTGGAAGTGGTACTGTGGCTCAAGCAGAAGACCGCTCGCCTTGAGCTGAAGAGTGCAAGGACAGCGCCCAAGCCCAGAGTTCAAGCCCCAAGACCAACCAAAAAAAAAAGCAGAGCTAAAGGTGTGGTTCAAATGGTAGAGTGCTAGCTTCACAAGGACCCTAAATGCAAAATCAGTACCTCAAAAAAAAAGTGTGAGGCTGCAAGACTAATGGCTTTTATTCTTGTTTGACTATGGGAGACTTCCATAGACATCTATAATACAAAGATGACAAAAAGTCTGCTTCCTGGCTAGGTGCTGGTAGCTCATGCCTCTAATCCTAGCTACTCAGGAGACTGAGATCTGAGGATAGTGGTTCAAAGTCAGCCTGGGCAGCCTGACTCAGGCTGACGAGACCCTTATCTCCAATTACCTAGCAAGTGGTAGCACACTAACCCTGAGCACAAAAGCTTAAGAACAGTGCCTATGCCCTGAGTTCAAGTCACAGGACCAGAACCTGGTTTGGGATATTCAATCTGAGGAGGGTTACTGGTTCCTCCTTTGCTAGATACCTTGCAGCCCATACAAGACATACTTGGGCCAGTCAGTAGGCACAGCCCAGCTCCAAGTGAACACCCATGCCTAGGGAATAAGACTGATTTTGTGGGATCTAGAAACTGGTCACACTAACTGGAACAAGGAAGTATGGAAAATCAGACCTGAGAAACATAGTTCAAGCTAAAACAACAGGAAACTATAAGCCACAGGAGGCAGGGCACCAGACCACAGCCGGGTCACCTCCTGTCGTATCTCCCAGCCTATCCACTCTCCCTTCCTGCTGGAAATTGCAGCAAAGTGGCCAACAGCTTGGGAAATTTCCCTTCCTTTAAGAAAGGAAGGACATAAAATAAGACTTATGATCTGGATAACAGGGGATCTGGGGGGGGGGGGGTCACTCATATTTTATGGCAAATCTTGATATGGTTATGGATTGCTGAGTTAGGCTGCTTTCCTCCTTGTTCTAGTCTGTCTTTCTTTTATTCTGGTGTGTGTGTGTGTGTGTGTGTATGTGTGTGTGTTTTGTTTTTGTTTTTTTGTCTATGGCGTGGGGCTTGAACTCTGGGCCTGGGCACTGTCCCTCAGCTCTTCAGCTCAAGGCAAGCACTTTACCACCTGAGCCACAGTGCCACTTCTGGTTTTCTGGTGGTTAATTGGAGCTAAGAGTCTCACAGACTATCCTGCCCCGGCTGGCTCTGAACTGCGATCCTCAGAACTCAGCCTTCTGAGTAGCTAGGATTACAGAGAGAGGCCATCAGCACCTGGCTTTGTCTTTTTTTTAAATTCTACTACCATCTTTTTCCTTCTTTTTTATATCACTTTTCTTCCTGCTCCTAATATTTTTTTCCTGCTATTATAAAATTAGTGTTAATGGAAATAGAGCTGTGGCTCAAAGTGGTAGAGTGCTAGTCTTGAGCATAATAGTTCAGAGATAGTGGCTAGGCCCTGAGTTCAAGCCCCAGAACCGACACTCACATTTTAAAAAGGGGGGGGGAGGGCCCTGGGAATGTGGGTCAGTGGTAGTAGAGTGCTTGCCTAGCATGCATGAAGCCCTGGGTTTGATTCTTTAGTACCACATACATAGAAAAAGCCAGAAGTGGCCTGGGAAGGTGGCTCAGTGGTAGAGCGCTTGCCTCTCATGCATGAGGCCCTGGGTTCAATTCCTCAGCACCATATAAGCAGAAAAAAAAAAAAAAAAGCCAGAACTGGCGCTGTGGCTCAAGGGGCAGAGTGCTAGCCTTGAGCTGAAGAGCTGAGGGACAGCACCCAGGCCCAGAGTTCAGGCCCCATAACCGGACCAAAAAAAAGAAAAGAAAAGAAAAGAAAAAGCCAGAAGTGGCACCGTAGCTCAAGTGGTAGAGTGCTAGCCTTGAGCAAAATGAAGCTCAGGGTCAGAACTCAGTTCCTGAGTTCATAAGCCCCAGGACTGGCAAAAAAAAAAAAAAGGAGGGGACTTAAGATTGATGTTAAAAGTATTCAGTCACACTCAGGTGACAGTGGCTCATGACTATAATTCTATCTACTACTCAAGAGGCTGAGTTAGCCGGGCACTGGTGGCTCACGCCTGTAATCCTAGCTACTCAGGAGGCTGAGATCTGAGGATCGCGGTTCAAAGCCAGCCAGGGCAGGAAAGACCGTGAGACTCCTATCTCCAATAAACCACCAGAAAACCGGAAGTGGCGCTGTAGCTCAAGTGGTAGAGCGCTCGCCTTGAGCTGAAGAGCTGAGGGACAGCGCCTAGGCCCAGAGTTCAAGCCCCACAACCGACCAAAAAAAAAATAGGCTGAGTTATAGAGAATCATAGTTCAAGGACAGCCCTGGCGGAAAAGTCCATAAGATTCTATCTACAAAAGGCTGAGTTGTAGGTATGGCTCAAGCAGAGCACCAGCCAGGCAGCATAAGACTCTGAGTTCAAATCCAATATGAGCAAAAAATAAAAAAATAATAATAGATGTGCATTTGTTATTCTTTACAATAAAAATCTTCAACAAATAAAAATGAAAATTTAGCTAGGCGTCAGTGGCTCATACCTGTGATCCTAGAGGCTGAGATCTGAGGAACAAGATTCAAAGCCAGCCTAGCTATAGCAAGGTCCATAAGACTCAAAAAAATAATCTGCAAAAGTCAGGCTAGAAGATGGTTCAAATGGTAAAGTACCAGTCAAGCAAGCAAGCTGAACAAGTATAAGGTTTTGAGTTCAAACCCCAGAGACTGAGATCTGAGGATTGTGGTTCAAAATCAGCCTGGTCAAGAAAGCCAGAAGTGGAGCTATGGCTCAACTGATGGAGTACCAGCTTTGAATGAAAAAGCTAAGGGACAGAGCCTAGACTCTTGAGTTCAAGCCCTAGTATTGTTGGTACATGTGTGGGCACATGTGCACACACACACTTTAAAGACAATTCAAGCATCTGCTGGTGGATTACACATCCTGAAGGCACTGTCTTACCTGCAAGCCCAGAAATATGCACAAGTACCAGGGAGGAACATCTTCTATGGTGTAAATCATGTCAGACCTCTGGGGGTCCAGGCTGCCAGTGCTGTCCAGGGTTTCCGCAAGAGAACTCTGTCATGGGGAGGGAGGAGACAATGGACTTAAGTGAATTCTAGCTCAGCTCTGCATACCTACTGTTGCTGAAACACAACTTATCCCAAGGTCATCCTTTTCCCATCATTTTGAGCAGTGGACACTTTTGAAGCAAAGATCAAGTCTATTTTCTCAGGGGGAGGTGGGAGCAGTCAATCCTCAGAATTTGGAGTTCTGTGACTTCTTGGCATCAACTCAGCCCTAAGAATACCCAACTTGCTCAGAGCATCTCCCCAGGCCTGCAGTTCCTCTTGCATGGGCAAAGATGCTCCAGGTTGAGACCATAAAGTGAAGCACCGAAGGCTTCAATTCTTGCCAATGAAGAAATATAAAGTGTTAGCCACTTTCAAACACAAAGGACTGATCTGCCCTTACCGCTCCATTTATAGATCCCAATTAGGAATATCTTTCTACTTAAAATTACATTCTAGCAACCTCCTGCCAGAACATTGAATGGCTCAGGCAACAATATTGAATAAAAAGAGCAAAATTCAAAAGTAAATACAATGACTCACCTTTTTTTTTTTTTTGCTGGTTGTGGGGCCTGAACTCTGGGCCTGGGGGCTGTCCCTCAGTCTTCAGCTCAAGGCTAGCACTCTACCACTTGAGCCACAGCACCACTTCCTGCTTTTTCTGCTTATGTGGTGCTGGGGAGCCATTTTCCCAGCCCTACATTTTTGTTTGTTTATTTTTTAAAGTAATAGAAACAGTACATAAAGCTAAGTCCTCGTGCCAGGTGCTGGTGGCTCATGCCTGTAATCCTAGCTACTCAGGAGGCTGAGATCTGTGGATCATGATTCAAAGTCAGCCCAGAAAAGGAAAGTCCATGAAACCCTTATCTCCAATAAACCACCAGAAAACCAGAAGTGGCACTGTGGCTCAAGTGGTAGAGCACTTGCCTTGAGCTGAAATGCTGAGGGACAGCACTCAGGCCCAGAGTTCAAGCCCCCACAACTGACCAAAAAAAAAAAAAAAAAGTTAAGTACTCATGTCTGTAATCCTAACTACTCAAGAGGCTGAGATGTGAGGATCAAGGTTCAGAGCCAGCCTGGTTAGCAAGGTCCATAAGGCTCAAAAACAAAAACAAAACAACAACAACAAAAAAAACCTGCAAGGCTAGAAGTATGGCTCAAATGGCAAAGCACCAGTCAAGCAAGCAAGCTGCGTAAGTGCGAAATTTTGAGTTCAAACCCCAGTACATTGCCCAATCCCCCACACCAGAAAAGAAAAAGAAAAAATTAAACAAGCGGTACAAGGCTGTGAGCTTGGGGCATAGCTCAAGTGGTTGAATACCTGTCTCTACCACAAAAGAAACAAATGAAAATTTCCTCCTGACCATCAGCAAAAATTTTTTAAAATGTTAATTAAGTGTTGTATGTTTGCAAAACTTATAAATAACCATCACAAAGACTAGACTCAGATAGCCTAGACATTTCCAGACAGCCTTGGCGTCACTTCTGAGCTCATTCAATGTCTGAGCCAAACAGAAGACGCAAGGTAATGCGCAGTTCACACGCAGAGCCTCTGAAAGGCTTTGATTTCTAAACCTTGAGAACAATATTTGCATTTCTTAGAATCTGAGATGCACGTATGTTTTTCTTCTCAAATCTTTTAGAATCCAGCAAAGAACACCTAACAAGAAACAAAATTAAAAGATCACACACACACACACACACACACAAAGATGAAAAGGAGAACACTGTGACCTTGACCTGATCTAGCCCAATGAGTGCTCTTATCTAATGAATCTGGCCCACAGAAAGATACTGGCTCCATGTGCTTGTCACTCAACTTTACCTGAGAGATCTCTTAACATAAAGGATGATACAGTTACTTCTGCCTCATCTTGTAGAGCCTAAAGGTAAATGTCTGATGTAAGTTGACATTTCATCTAATCCAAATGTAAATGAATGTGACCTTTGTAAGACAGTGACCTTTGTAAGACAGAAGCCTGTCGTCTTTTCCAAAAGTAGGTACTGGAAGCTTTGCACTGTGAATGAGGTAGAATGGAGAGTGTGTCTTTTGAAAAGTTGGTAAAAATGGCAGAGAAAGTACTCCTGTGTGTAAGAAGTCTGGTATGAAAGCATCGCTCCACAGGACTGAGCTACCTAAACCCTGCACTTTGGTATGGCGCTTGTCTGGCACATGAAAATAAGTTTTTTTGTTTTGTTTTGTTTGCTGGTCCTGGAGCTTGGACTCAAGGCCTGAGCTCTGTCCCTGAGCTTCTCTGTGCTCTAGGCTAGCACTCTACCACATGAACCATAGCACTCCTTCTGGCTTTTTTTTCTGCTTGTATGTGGTACTGAGAAATTGAACCCAGGGCTTCATGCATGCTAGGCAAACACTCTAACACTAAGCCACATCCCTAGCCCTGAAAATAACTTCTAAGTTCCTGGGATATCCTGATGTTCAAGAGAGGCTTTTTTAAAAAACAAACAAACAACAACAACAAAAAGCCTTAGGTTTGGTCAATAGTGTGCACTGGCAGTGTGATTTATAGCAACGGACTAGAGACACAAGCTTCAGCTTGCTCAGTCTGGAGGGGATTGGAAACTGACTAAAGTCAGCTGCTATGGTGGTCAGCCACACCTAAAGGACTCATCTCCAATAAAAACCCAGTACATCACAGTTCCAATGAGCTTCTCTGGCTTTGTCACACCTCATTACTGGGACCATCAAGACATTGGCTGCCTGGCTATATGAAGAGAGGAAGGCCAGAAAGCAGTATGCCTCATGTTACTCAGACACTGCCTTCATTCCTTTTCTTGAATGCTGGTTCTCCATTGTTGAGAATGATACTGTGAACGAGTTCCCTGAGTCTGTCTAGAAGGTCATTAAACCTGATTAAGGAACCCTTGAACAGGTTTGATTATGCTAGCCATGACATAACTATTACAACACAAGGTCAGCTCAACTCCATATAATCTACAACTTCAGAGGTACAGAGTGTTACTGCTTACAAAGAAACAAAGCATACAGTATGGGAGGGGTGAGGAGATAAATACATATATGCTCTTCACCTTAGTATCATCCTATTGAAGGTGCTTTGGACCTGTAAGAGGTAGGACCTAGCTGGAGGCTTACAAGTTCAAGGTGGTCAGCCTGGACTATATAACAAGATCCTGTCTCAAAAACAGGCAGGCTCTAATGAGAAGTCTTTGGCTATCCAGTGGTATGGCTTTGAAGAGGATTATGAGACCCTGTTTGTCCCTCTTCTCTCTGCTTCCAAGGGTATGAGCACTTGCTCACATACACTCCCCACCCTGATGAGCCATTCTTGCCAGTGGCCCATTAAAACCACTTGATCTTGAACTTGATCCATCAGGAGAAGGCATAGAAGGTGGCAAGTATTTCGCTGTAGTGATACAAAGCTGAATCATACAGGGTGTGATCCCACTGCTTTGGTCAAAGAACTTCCTCCAAGGCATCTTTAATCTAGGGAAATTCACTGTTGCTTTCTCTTATTTACTGACCTGTTAGAATATAACAATCTACGATGCTAATAACTTTACACACACGTACACGTGCACACACAGTAGACAAGGCTCCAGATCAGGGATATCCCAGTCCCTGCAGCACAGAAGCAGGGGCAGCATGGGGCAAGAGAGGTACCTTCTCTGCAATGCCATTTTCCGTAGTGTAGATGGCCATGAGCTCAGTGTCTTCATTGTCCTGCTCCCCACTGGACGTGGCCCCTCCATTGATCACCACCTGAGAAGAAACATTCATTAGAAAGGCAACCGTACAGAACTATGTCCTTTCCAAAATGCCTCCTGTCATTTTAAGAGGTCCAAACTGCGTATCTTCACATAGCAGTTTGGGTTTTCTTGCACAAAACTACCACACATATGGCCTACAGTGTGCATTTTTGATAGCAAAAAAGTCTGTTATGCCCATGGGATAAAGCTGGGTGAGCCAGCTTCCCCTTTTGTTCAGAAGAAGCCAGAGTGGAATGTTCCAGACAAATATTGGGCCATGGACAGTCCTAGGCAGGTGTTTGAAAGGCTGGGTCATTGTTAAGGGAGTGAAAGAGTCCCAAGCTGCCTTGGGTAAGAGCCCACTCCTTTGGGACCAGTTGATAGCAGCCTCTAATGTGGCTGTCCTGGAGGAGAAAGTGTTGGGGTTAGAGGAATTTAGCTCTGCTGTTCACCAAACTCACTAACTTGTTAGTATTGATTTGTTACTGCAACTAAGTAAACTGTTGATATGTGCACCTGACTTCATCACAGGGAGGAGGGTAGGGATGAATGGTGACACAAAATCTAGATTCTGGGCCATTCATGTAAGGACCAGATCTCAGCTCAGGACAAATTCAAAGGAAACACCTGGTATCCAGCAGCAGGCCACAAACACTTTCTAGTTTGCACTGAGCGAGTGTATAATGGGTTCCATCAACCTATACCAAGAGCCTTAAAACATGCTTACTTCTCATTTGAGGTTCCTAGATTTCTAGGAATCTATCCTAAAGAACACAAAACAAAACAAAAAGCTTTCACCCCACCCCACCCTCAAAAGTAATCACTATTATAGTACAGTATAGTACAGGCACTATCCCTGAGCTTCTTTTGCTAAAGGTTAGCACTCTATCACTTGAGCCACAGCACCACTTCTGGCTTTTTCTGTTTATTTGGTACTGAGGAATTGAACCCAGGGCTTCATGCATGCTAGGCAAGCACTCTACTATTAAGCCATATTCCCAGCTCCTAATCCTCCAATTTATACTTCCTGCTATAGCTGTGATAGGTCCATGCCTGTCATACAATTGGTAGAGATGGTCATCTTGTAAACTTTTTGCCCAAGTTGGCCTCAAGCTGCAATCTCTCCATTTCTGGCGCCAAATACCTCTAAGATTCAAGTATAACAGCCACTGGCTCCCAGTCAACTACATTTTAATAACACAGATTTAGCAAGTATGGAATACTGATTTCAAAAACACTAGTAAATTCCTATTTAAAAAAAAAAAAGAAATTAAATACACAGATTTTGTTTAGAAGAGTATAGAAGGTTTCAATTCCATCACTATGATTTAAATATATGAAGAAGATACGTTATAGCCTAAGATATATTTAATATATACAGAAAAAAGGTATCAACAATTCATAAAGCACACAACAAAGCATACTTTTTTCTTAAAGCCAAATGAAATGGACAAAAACTAGGAATATACAATTCATGGAAACATAAAATAAAATATACAATGAACATAGAGGGATTTACAATATGAGTCAAAATGAAGGAGAAAGGGAGAAGACTCTGCTATACTCCTGATAAAGTGGCTCTTCTGTCTACTCTAGGACAGGCATATCCTAGATTTAACCATTACACATACACAAACTTAACTTTCAGAAGTGTCCATGCCGCTGTGGCTCAAGTGGTAGAGCGCTAGCCTTGAGCTGAAGAGCTGAGGGACAGCGCCCAGACCCAGAGTTCAGACCCCAAGACCGGACCCAAAAAAAAAAAAAAAAGAAGTGTCCATGTTCTTGGTATGTACGTTCAGCATTTTCTGAAATATTGAGTACTTGGAAAACAGCCTACATTTTTTCCCCCAAAAGATGGATACAGGGCAGAGGTATAGCTCAGTGGTCCAGCATGAATGGGAGGAGACCCTTAAAGGTGGAGGGACCTGTCTCCATTGCCCTCTGTGCTGTGCCATAAGAACATAGGAACAGCTCCAGGTGGAAGGTTCCAGAGCATAAGGAGATGGAAGGCAGTGAGGGACTGGACATAGAGGAGGAAGACTGTGAGAAGCCAGGGCTCTTTAGGGGCCACTCAGTGGATCCCTTGTCTTTGGTGTATTTAAGTGCTTAACAGAGGACAATCTTGTTATCTCTCCTCTTAGTAAATTGGCCATGATTTTGTAAAAACATCAACAGATTGTATTAAATAACACAACGTCCTTTTTCCTTAGTAAAACAATTAGAAACCAAATTTGCCCCTTTAAATTTTGCCCCCTAAAGCTACTGTACTTATTCATCCACAAATTCTACTTGAATTTGTCTGGGTTTGTTTGCCTCCAAAGTGCAGGGCTAGTTTGATTTCAATTGTGGGAGTAAGTCCACAATTGCTCAAGAATGAGTTATAGTGTTTTTGTTTTTTTTGTTTGTACCAAGCAAAGCTGATGGTGCTAAAGTATTTGTTTCTAAACAGTTCTTGGAATGATGGAAGGTATAGGAGGGAGGGAGGACAGAAGCCATTATTGGGGTGTCATAGGAGTATCTATATCACCGCAGGCCAGTGTTTAAACCAAGGTTAAGTGTGCCTGTGCTGTTATTCCAACAGAAACTATATGACTTGCTGGTACTGACATATGGAAGGCAGAGGGCACAGGACATCTGGAACGCTCAGAACTCAATTTCTCACTTATTCAAGATCTGCTGTAATTCACTCCACCATGATAACAGGCCCTGACAACCATTTAGTTATTAAGCCAATTATTTCCAGAGTAGTAGTAAAGTTGCTCAGATTAACTATTTAAATTTTATTCTTTCTAAAAGACAACACATAATCTTCCACCCTTCCTTCCCCCTCTCCCCACCTTTATTGTATTATTGTACTGGAGTTTGAACTTAGGGCTTTACTTTGGTAGGCCAAGAACTCTATTGCTTAGTCATACCTCAGACCTTTCTACTCTAATTATTTTGGAGACAGGATCTCAATTTTTGCCTAGGTTCATCTGGACTACAATCCTTCTATGTATGCACCCCACTGTAGTAAGGATGACAGAAGAATGTCATTGTGCAAGCTTTTTAGTTGCTGCGATGGGGTCTTTACCCAGGCTAGCCAGAAACCACAATCCTCCCAAACTCAGCTCCCATGGAGCTCAAGATGATAGATCCACCATGCCTAGCTATTGTTGAGTGAAATGCAATTTTATTAATGTTTTGCCTGGGCTGTCCTTAAACCATAAGTTAATAAGTATGAACTACTAGCTTCAAGACAATAACATAATTCTTAAACTACCTTCCCAACAGATACATATAAAAGATTATTTCACCAGGCACTGATGGCATTCACCTGTAATCTTAAACTACTCCGGAAGCTAAAATCTGAGGATCTTGGATTTTTTTTTTTTAGGGGGCGGTTCTTTTTTTCAATGAACTGGCAAAAAGCCAGAACTAGAGGTGTGGCTCAAGTGGTAGAGCACCAACCTTGATGGAAAAAGCCAAGTAAGAGTATGAGACCCTGGGCTGGGAAGGTGGCTCAGTGGTAGAGTGCTCACCTTGCATGCATGAGGCCCTGGCTTTGATTCCTCAGCACCACATAAGCAGAAAAAGCCAGAAGTGGGTGTTGTAGCTCAAGTGGTAGAGCGCTAGCCTTGAGCTGAAGAGCTGAGGGATAGCACGCAGGCCCAGAGTTCAGGCCCCACGACCGACCCCCCCCCCCCCAAAAAAAAAAGAAAAAATAAGCTTCAGCATCAACATGAAAGGAAAAGATTATTTCCTCTGGTATCCAAATCTCTACTACAATTAAAATGTGTTTTGAATAAAGAAGAAAGATACCAAGGTTAGTGTTCCCTAGCAGATACTCTAAGCACCTTTAATCAAACATGAAACTCCCACTTGCATTCCATATTATTGAAATTTCCAAATTTAACTGCCACGAAAAAGAAATAAGGTGAGTACAATGCAATACATGTTAAACCACTCCCAGAGTGTGTCAATCTCAAGATTATGACACTCTAGAAGATGTAGTTTATAGATCTAACAACATACCAGTAGCCACCCTGATGCTAGCTAATCCAATTTTCTTATTTCCACTGCCTCTTCAAGGAAGACACCCCCCTCCCCCACACCATGTGACACCGGTTTAAGAGGACACATGGAAAGGAACCATTGGGAGTGGCAGACAAAAGACATCAGCACCCAGCTGTGGCACTGCATTATTAGCAATAGAAAGATGATATAAATCTTGCCTTCAAATGGATTCCTGAAGGAATCAGGAGGGCACTCAGCAAGAATTTTGCCAGATACTAGTGTCTCATGACTCAGAGGCTGAGATCTGGGGATCACTGTTAGAAGTCAGCCAAGGTAAGAAAGTCTATGAGACACATCTCCAATTAACCACCATAAAGCCAGAAGTAGAGCTGTGGTTCAAGTGGTAGAGCACCGGCCTTGAGCAAAAACACTCCCCGGCATTCTCCACCCCACCCCCCAAAAAAAGCCCAGCACTGGTGCTCATGTCTGTAATCCTAACTACTCAGGAGGCTGAGATCTGAGAATCACAGCTCAAAGCCAGCCCTGGCAAGAAAATCCATGATATTCTCACCTCCAATAAATTAACAAAAAAGTCAGAATGGTAAAGTTCTAGCCTTGAGCACAAAAGCTCAAGGATGGTGCCCAGACACTAAGTTCAAGCCCAGGACTGGTGTGTGCACAAGCATGTGCGCATGCAAACACACTTGCATGCGCGCACACACAAACATGCACGCACGCACGCACACACACACACACACACATTAATAAAATACAGTATAATACAGGCCAAGAAAGAGTGAGAGGTTCTGAATTCAAGTCCCAGTTCTGGTGCACAAATGGAGGAGGAGGAGGAGGAGGAGGAGGAGGAGGAGGGGGGAGGAGGGGGGAGGAGGGGGGGGAGGGGGGGGAGGGGGGGGAGGGGGAGGGGGAGGGGGAGGGGGAGGGGGAGGGGGAGGGGGAGGGGGAGGGGGAGGAGGGGGAGGAGGGGGAGGAGGGGGAGGGGGGGAGGGGGGGAGGGGGGGAGGGGGGGAGGGGGGAGGGGGGGGAGGGGGGGGGAGGGGGGGGAGGGGGGGGAGGGGGAGGAGGAGGAGGGGGAGGAGGGGGAGGAGGGGGAGGAGGGGGAGGAGGGGAGGGGGGGGAGGGGGGGGAGGGGGGGAGGGGGGGAGGGGGGGAGGGGGGGAGGGGGGGAGGGGGGGGAGGGGGGGAGGGGGGGGAGGGGGGGAGGGGGGGGGAGGGGGAGGAGGAGGAGGAGGAGGAGGAGGAGGAGGAGGAGGGGGGAGGGGGGAGGGGGGAGAGGGGGGGGAGGGGGGGGAGGAGGAGGAGGAGGAGGAGGAGGAGGAGGGAGGAGGGGGGAGGAGGGGGGAGGGGGAGGAGGAGGAGGGGGAGGAGGGGGAGGAGGGGGAGGAGGGGGAGGAGGGGAGGGGGGGGAGGGGGGGAGGGGGGGAGGGGGGGAGGGGGGGGAGGAGGAGGAGGAGGAGGAGGAGGAGGAGGAGGGGGGAGGAGGGGGGAGGAGGGTGGAGGAGGGGGGAGGAGGGGGGAGGAGGGGGGAGGAGGGGGGAGGAGGAGGGGGGAGGAGGGGGGAGGAGGGGGGAGGAGGGGGGGAGGAGGGGGGAGGAGGGGGGAGGAGGAGGGGGAGGAGGGGGAGGAGGGGGAGGAGGGGGAGGAGGGGGAGGAGGGGGGAGGAGGGGGGAGGAGGGGGGAGGAGGAGGAGGAGGAGGAGGAGGAGGAGGAGGAGGAGGAGGAGGAGGAGGAGGGAGGAGGAGGAGGAGGAGGAGGAGGAGGAGGAGGAGGAGGAGGAGGAGGAGGAGGAGGAGGAGGAGGAGGAGGAGGTGGAAAAGAAAAGTTAACAAGTTAAAAAAAAAAAAAGAACTGAAAGTAAATTGTCAAAGTAGATAGTTTGCATGTATGAAATCAAATAATGAAAACTGTTTGTACTTAAATTTGCCAGGAGGAGACAAATCCCAAAACTACCTTTTAAACATCCCAGTCATTAACCACACTTTCAATATTGAAGGAAAAATATCTTGAGGCAAGATCTTTCTAGCTTTATATACATCAAGTCACAGTCCTACATCTGGGAATAAGTATTGTTACGAATGAATATAATGAATGAATCTAATCAGCCTTATCTTAACCAATAGTACTTATTCAGATAAAAGTATTTCTACCCTGGATGCTGCTGCTCCAGTATCAAGCATGGACCCTGGGTTGAAAACAGCATGATCTTCTCCCCTTCTCCACTGCAACGTGGGCAGAGGTTGGATTACATGCTATTTCATAAGAGAGAAAATTTAAGACTTCAGTTTCCTCCAATAAGGACTGGGTCAGTTTTTAAAACATGAATAACAACGTGTCTCCCTCCAGGAGTCAATCAAACCCAGCAGTCGTCTGCAGTCTAAGAGGCCAGCCAGCTCAGGAGATTCAGCCCAAGTCAACATCCTATGAAAAGTACCTGATCCTCAATGCCTTAACTTTCACTGAAAACAAAAGTATTTAAGCCCATGTGGAACTACTTTAGAGTAGTCGGCGAATAAGGCAAGTGGGTCCTATTACCGGAAGAGTAAAGAAAGTGGGATGCTTCGCTTCGTCTTCGTATTTGCCTTCTGTGGAACTCCCGGCCTCCATTGACTTGGACGTGGTGTTCTTACCAACACCCATCATCAAGAGAAGCCGAGCAGTCCTGCTCAGCTATTGGTCTTGAGTGGCTGTGGTGAAGGTTTAGTCAAGCAGGGAGCCTAAGTTCACAGTCAGCTCTTCTGCCACCTCGAACACCTGATTCTTAGATGAGGTTGAAACGTGTGAACGTGTGAGCGCCATCTCTTAGCACCTGCAAGAAAGAGTGCAAGCAAATCACCTCAAAGCACACAAACAATAGGACACTAAAGCCATCTAGGTCCCTGTAATGAAAGAATGTCATAGTACAAGATAAACCCAGATACCCCAAAATACACTATCAACTCTTTTTTTTTTTCCTGGTCCTGAGGCTTGAACTCTGGCCCTGGGAGATGTCCCTGAGCTTTTTTGCTCAAGGCTAGCAATCTACCATTTGAGTCACAGTGCCGCTTCAGCTTTTTCTGTGTGTGACTTAATTGGAGATATGTGTGTGATTTAATTGGAGATGTAAGTCTCACAAACTCTCCTACCCAAACTAACTTAGACCCACAATCCTCAGATCTCAGCCTCCTGAGTAGCTAGGATTACAGGCATAATTGTGCCACTGGCACCCGGCTGCCATCAACACTTTTTCAGAACTACTCTCTTCAGTGACAGTCACCTGTTGCTTCTGCAACTGCCCTCTGGGGAGGAGGAATACAGAACTAGGTTATCAGAAATATCACAATACTGGGGGGGGGGGGGCAACCAAACAGGTAAGTTTTCCTCTGCTGTGCATTATGAGATATATCTAATAACCCACCAACACCTAGTAGAACTTTCCTCAATGACAAATGTTGTGTATCTTCTCATCTGAGAGTCATTACTGGCCACATGTGGCTATGGAACACTTGCCAATAAGGAATTCAACTGTAGTTAATTAAAATGTAGATACCGGGGCTGGGAAGGTGGCTCAGTGGTAGAGCGCTTGCCTTGCATGCCTGAGGCCCTGGGTTCGATTCCTTAGCACCACATAAGCAAAAAGAAAAAAGCCGGAAGTGGTGCTGTGGCTCAAGTGGTAGAGCACTAGCCTTGAGCTGAAGAGCTGAGGGACAGCACCCAGGCCCAGAGTTCAGGCCCCACGACTGGACCCAAAAATAAATAAATAAATAAAATAAAATAAAATGTAGATACCTACCAGGTATCAGTGGCTTATACCTGCAGGATCAAGGCCAAAATTAGCCCTGGCAGAAAAGTATGTCAAACTATATATACCTCTAATTAACCAGCAAAGTGCTGGACTGCATGGGTAGTTCAAGTGGTAGAGCATTAAGCCATGAGCAAGCAAGAGACCCTGAGTTCAAGTCCCAATACTGGTACAAAAAAGTGACAGCAGACAAGAAGGGATAGAAGTGGGAGAAAGAAATCAACACTCCTAGACCCAAGATGGATCTGAAAAGCCTGGAAAATCATGGAGACTCTGCCAATATCCAATACCCCACACTAAGAGGAAGAAAAAGAAGCTAAGTGCAGGAACCTTCTGGAACAATTCTGCCAAGTTTCAGTGATGTAGCAGAATATGAAAACTCAATTTCAATGAAGTTTGATCTGGCTAATGAAAGTGACCCACCCTACATCAACAAGCCTGTGAGAACCTGGCTTCAAAGCTGCAAGTCACAAAGGATCCTACAAGGGTTGGCACACACACAATAAAACATACCTAGGTGTGCCTGGACTTTTTATAAAGAAAAGGATAAAGTAAGTAGGTAGAAGAGCAAAAGGCAAAGTGCACTCACTCACCAGCACTCCAATTAGGGAAAACAGCAGATCTTACCACCTAGTTTCCTATCAAGAACAAATATATCCAAGCAGACACCAGTAGCTCAAGCCTATAATCCTAACTACACAGGAAAGCAGAGGTCTGAGGATCATTCAAAGACAGCCCAGACAGGAAAATCCATGGTTAATCTCCAACTGACTACCAAAAAGCCGTAAGTGGAGCTGTGACTCAAGTGGCAGAGTGCTGGCCTACAGCAAAAGAATCTAATGGACAGTACACCTAGGCTCTAAGTGCAAGCCTCCATATCAGCATCACCCCCCTCCCAAAAAAAAAGAACAGTTCAACCAGCTGTCCTTTGGACCTGACAACAGGCTACAAGAAATGAAAACTTTCTGTTTTAGCTATTCATCATGGGGTACTTTTTTCACTTAACAAATACTTTGAATGGGGAGAAGGGTGCCATGTAAGCAAATAAGACAAGAGAAAATTATGTAAAATTTCACAGCTCAGAGGTCAAAAGGCTAAAAATGAAAACCCAAACAAACAGCTGCCAGAACCTTACGTGGTATTAGTAGGGAGAGACAGAGAACTTCTTGCCTCTAACTGCACTCTGCAGAGGGGAACATTATGGTCTGCATTTTCATTCCCATCATATTCACACCTGCTTAAAGCAATAGTTGTGCCAGGTGCTGGTGGCTCACACCTGTAATCCTAGCTACTCAGGAGGCTAAGATCTGAGGACCATTCAAAGCCAGCCCAGGGAAGTCTATGAGACTCTTACCTCCAATTAACCACTAGAAAACCAGAAGTGGCCCTACGGCTCAAAGTGGTAGAGCACTAGCCTTGAGCAAAAGAGCTCAGCTTCCAGCCCTGAGTTCAAGTCTCATAACAGACCAAATAAACAAAGAAAGCAATAGTTTGTCAGTCTAGAGTGACTGTGTTCACATGGTGACACATGCGGATGTATTTTTGGTCATCAGGACGGGGAGAGAGCTAGCAGCACCTGGGTGGTGGAGGCCAGGGAAGGGATGCTGCTCAACAGCCCCTTCCCATGGCACAGGGCAGACGTTCTGAAGAAGGTTTCAGGGAGAAGGCTGCAGAGGAGGGGTGAAGGAGCATCACAAATGTGGGCAAAAGAAGGAACCCAGTGGCTGTTGAACAAAGAAATATATCCTTGGAAACTGCTTTAACAAGTCCCCCGCAAAACACTGAGCACACTACAACCCAAGCACTCAAGGCTGATGCAAACAGCAAGGCCAGAAAGCACACATCAACCTGAGATAAGAGGCTTCATCCACCAGATGAACTTTCCTGCAAGCAAATGCCAAGGTCCAGAGGCAGAAAGCAAAAGATGAAAGGAAAGAAAGGGTGGAGGGCAAGGGGAATTTATGGATCTGTGCTTGAGAATTTATGTCAAAACAAGAAGCCAGACGTGATAGCTCATACTTTAGCTACTCAGGAGGCCAAAGATCGGGAGGATCTTGGTTCAAGACCAGTCTGGGCAAAAAGCTCAACAGATTACCCCGCCCCCTGCCCCCCATCCCCAATCTCAACCCCCTAAAAGCTGTGTGTAGGGTGAACACCTGTCATCCCAGCTACTTAGGAAATGTAAAGAGCAATCCAGACTGGCTAGACATCAATAACAGGATTCTTTATAAAAAATAACCAAAGCAAAAAGGGCTGGAGGTGTGGCTTAAGTGGTAGATACTGCCTAGTAAGCTCAAGGATCAAATTTTAAACCTAGCAACACGCACTCTCTCTTCCCCAAGGTCTCTAATCCTAGGAAACTGTAATCAGTGATCAATACATAGTGCTTTTGGGTTTCCCTTTGTTCTCTTTGGTGGGGGTAAAAGCCAACAAAAAAGTCTACTTACTCTTGCCCTGGCAACTTGCCATAGGGAAGGAAGGGTTAAGGGATGAAAGAAAGACCATGATGGTGACAACAACATTAACAGCAGTTGTCTAATTGCTACATACACCAGGCACATTTTGCCTCTCATTGTGTCAGTTACTTCCGGTCAGTGAATATATTAGTATTTAATTTGCCCATTAACTCTATAACAGTGGCAAGTAAGCTTATCAGTATTTCTACCCCATTCTAGCTATTACTGCAAGCAAGGCATAAAATTGGCCTTTCAATGCTCGGCTTTCAGCTGCCCTCCCCAGCCAGACATAGGCCAGATGGCCTTTAGGCACAATCTCAGCAAGACTTGCTGGTTGTATTGCCCTCCTTGTCTTTTGTGGGGGAACTAAGGGGATAGTTCTGCCTGTGAGTTCTGCAGCTGTCTGAGCACAGGAGACCTTGCTGCGGTGCAACCACCTTCAGCGGTTTCTCAGACACCATGATGAGGTGCTCAGAGAAGCCCTGATGGAGTCACTCCAACAGAAGGTGGAGGTGAGGAAATGGAAGCCAAGAGGGGGAAACGGAGCGTTGTCATTGGATGGGGAGAGGGAAAAGAAAAGCTGCCACTGGAGAGCAAGGGGGAAATGCGGAACTGTCATTGGCCAGAAAGGGGAAATGTAAAGTTGCCGTTGGACAAAGAGGAAGTTTCCCTTCACAAGATGAGTAAACTTTACAGAGATCTGCTCTAAAATACTGTGCATACAATTAACAATACTGTTACTGTACACTTAAAATTGTGTTTAAAATGTGTGGTTCACAAGTTGCCCATGGCTTACACCTGTAATTCTTGTTACATAGAAGGCTAAAATCATGGTTCAAAGCCAGCCCATGATACTTTTATCTCCAATTAATCACCCCCTCCCCACAAAAGCTAGAAGTGGAACTGTGGCTCAAGTGGTAGAGTAATAGTCTGAAGCAAAATAACTCAGGGATAGTAGCCAGGGCCAGCATACACACACTCACAAAAAATACTTATCTCATATTAAATATTGTCAAAAAAAAAAAAAAAAGAGGTAACAGCAGAGATGTTTTGTTTTAAGAGGTTATAAATAGCATGTAAGTGTGTGCATGTGTGTGTGTGTGTGTGTGTGTGTGTGTGTGTGTGTGTACACCCAACAGAACAGTAGCTAAACTACTGAAGAACACAAATAGGGAATGGAGTTGTGGCTCATGGGGCAGAGCACCAGACTTGAGTGGAAAAGCCAAGTGAGAGCATACTGGCACACACATACACATTAAAGAAAAAAAAGAACGAATAGTTTCGTTTTGTCTTTATAACCCTTTGTATTTTCTACAATTATATAGCAATCCTTTTCCCTTACAGAGGATGGAAAGCTATCTAGCCCTTCTCAGAGCCCAGAATGCAGTAGGGTAGAGTGATGTAATCCATGTTTCAAGTTCAAGCATAACTTCTGTCATCAGAAGATAGCGGAGAGCTGGGAAGGTGGCTTAGTGGTAGAGTGCTTGCCTAACATGCATGAACCCCTGGGTTCAATTCCTCAGTACCACATAAACAAAAAAAGCCAGAAGTGGTGCTGTGGCTCGAGTTGTA